ATTATGTTATACACGAAATGTATTGTTAACGGTATTGCCTGTGATAACTTTTTTTTATAGATTTCAATGAATACGATATGATTTTCGACGTTTTAGGGTGAAAGTGTGGCATGTCAAATTGTGGGAATGGTTGCCTCTTTACGCTATCAGGCGATAATCGAGATTTTCAGCAGAACTGTCATTTCGAGTATGTCTTCCTGTAAAGGCATTACTGCTGCTTTCTTAATCCTGAAGGCACAGCGATGAAAAGACGAAAGAAACTGAGAAAGGCTGATAATTAGCTATGGAGAACGGGAATCACATGAATGGTCACCTACTTCGTGTTGACAGTGGGGCCGTGGCGTTTTGGTAGGTGGTGTGGGGTGCAGAGGGACTCAGGGGCTTTAGGAGGTAAAAACTGTCGAGTTCATAACGAGCTTCGGGGCAAAAATGCGGAACCTTGGCCGTTTCGTGAGTGAATGGCGATGTGGAATGTGATGGATCGTACATAGAAGAGGTGATAACAAGTGATAAGGACTTATAGCTGTCACCAGATCACTTCTCCTTTTTGTATGACAGCTCTCGTCATGACTTTCTCTTCCTGTTCTGGTATTATAATACATATTCCACACTCTATTGGTATCTAATTAGCAAACTGAGCACCTTAGAAATGCGAGGTAACAACACGGAAAATTTCTACTCTGCAGTAAGCAACGTTAGAGATCATCTTCCTGTATCATCACTGCACAAAGTAAATAGTATTTCTGTCTTTCTTCAGCCCTCTACGTTTCCAGAAGTCGATCAGGTCTTCTCTATCGATTCCTACGAATTTCTGGGTAAAAAACTTAATACTCCAGAGCCATAATCCTTCGAAATCCTTCAAACCCTCACTCATGGAAAATCGAATAACGTAACACATGAGTTTTCAACCACACTTTTGGCATAAAGTCGCCATCTAGAGCGTAGCATGTGTAACTCCGCCACTAACCTTTCTTTTTTCTTGTTCAGCAGATTTTTCGGGTTTGTGAAAAATGTGAAGCTTATTGATCACCAGTGAACATCGCTGCTGGTACCATCGGCCACGGACGTTCATTGGCGACCAAATTCACTGTCATTATTGTAAACTTCTGTTTCTAGGAAACTTTCTTAGGTGTACCGAAGCTGGCCTTCCACGGCAAAAGGTGGTGAGCAGCATTGAAGCCGTTAGCCTTTGAAAACATTTTTGAGGACATGTGAATGAAATGTTTTTCCGTTGAAATGGGATCAGGATCTACTCTTTCCTCCAAAATGAGTAGGCTTTCAGTAGTGTAAGCTCCAACTTCCCAGATTCTTTCATAAACATACAACAGCTATTCCTTTCGAAAGAACAAACACAACAAGTGCCATGAGAAGATGCTATACATTTTCCACAAACAACAATGGTCACCAGGCTACTGGACATGTCAGGCAACCGGAAATAGTCTTCATAACTGGACAACTGTCACCGCCTAAGTTTGCTTTAGCGGAGCAGCTGTCAAGAAGTGATAAAAATGTTAGGCATAATGCAAATCTTTGACAAAACAGGGCAGAAAGCTCAAGAAACATTCTAGCGGTTGATCTATGAAATCTCCACTTCTCCTTCACGAACTTCCTTCAAGCTGAGGATCTCTAGTCGACCATGACCTTTGCTTTCATTGCGAACTAACTCATCTGCTGGTCGGAAACTGCCCGGTTCAATCAAACCGACCTCAATTCGCAGAAAATTGGATTTAGAAACGGATGGAGAAAGTAAACCACATACTCAAATCAGTTATTCTAGCTCACGTAGTCCATTGAAGACTGCTAAAGTTGCACTGCATTCCGTGAATCTGACTTACCATCTCTAGACCACCCTCAGCCCAGTCTTCAAGCTCCAGTTCCGAGAATAAAGCCTTCAATCGTGAATGTGTAATTTTAGCCTCATGCGATGGCATCGCTATACGGATTCTCATCTTTGCACGCTCGAGACGAATGGCTTCTCGAAGCTTAGGAATTGCCTCTAACGCCTATAAACGGAATTTTGAGAAAACGTAAGCATCTGAATAGTAAAAAATGAGCTCACTTGTTGCTTTGCATTTCTGTTGGGCTTCAAAGAAAAGTGAAGTTCATGAAGAGCTTTGTCGATGACGGATGTTGGAATTGGGCGTTTTGTATCAGGATTTACTACCATTTCCGCAATCAACTGTGATACCTGAATGAATGAAATTCAGAAAATCTTCAAACATCCTACTAACAAAATTAGCACATTCCAAAGAAAAGAACGACAAAAAATACCATCAAATGAAAAGAAAACAGTATAGATGATACCTCCTTATACGTTTGATCAGTCTGTGCCTGCCGTTCTTTGTCAGATACTTGTAAATCTCCCTTTTCCAATATCTGGAATATCATACATACTGTTGGCGATATCATACATTTCGGATTAACTAATAAATAAAACGTACAATTTTGCAAATTTCCAATTGATCTTCCGTGCCAAATGCTGCTGATAATTCGTCCTTTTTTGCTACTTGCCCTTTTGACACATTTGAGAAGACCGTATGCGTTTGAAGCACTTCATCAATATTTTTCTCTCTGTAATAATAATTTTTCACAAGTAGAAGCAGGGATTTTCTATACGTTACATTGATAGACATCGGCATGTGATGCTGATAGCTAAATAGGCTGGCGACTCTAATCAAAACGTGTCTACAGATGAGAATTCACGAGTTGGACTGAATGGTAGATCAATCATGCCACCAGGTAACGTTTTACATCTCTGCTGTAAATGTAATTTGAATAGGGATCAAGCACCACTGCAGATAAGGTGGATTCTCATCAGCGGGGAAACTCATCACTAGCAGGTTATCAAGATTTTAATCTTTAGTGATGCTTTCTTTAAGTGATCTGGATAAAATAGTTGGGTAATTTCACTATAATATGCAATTAGAACAATAGTGAGAATGGATTTCGATGGAAGGCGCTTACAAGAGATTTCTGGCAACGATTCTTCACATAATCGTAGTATAACTGAAAGATGGTGTTCGGAATAATCAGTGCGTTTTTGCGATGTACGCTCAAACTCGATTTCGATTCAGAGCCACAGTGGCAGTTTAAGTCCGTATGTGGTCAATACAATGGTTTGTGGTGATCAGCTGAAGTACAAGTCAGTGCTTGTATCCTCCCAAAAGAGGCTAGTTCCACTTAACCGACGCAGAATGGATAGAAAGTTTGATAGGCCCAGGTATCGATGCGGGATTCGGAACACTTAACTGTCCTTAACAATCTGACCGAGATCGGATCCACGACTGAACTCCTATTGAGTCAACTGGGCCTCCTATTACCCTGAGGGCTGATAGGCGTGAGTCGCCTGCAGTAATAAGTAAAAGTAATGGTTTCCACACCGGTAGGTTCCTACAAGTATTGTATGAATATAATGGGTAATCAAACCCCAAATGATTCGTAATGGAAATCACTTTCAACACAAAAGTGACTAACGACAAGATAACGACTTTTCAAAGATATCAGCGCGATAGAACGAGAAAAAAAACTCACGTTTTATTCCTCCAGTTGACAACCTTGTTCTTGTAACAGGCGATTTCAAAACGCTTACCCATCTTCTTCATCCGCACTACTGCCACATTTGTAAGCAGCTTCTGATTTGTCGGTGTTTTTATATTTTTCGACATCTAAAAACGGTCTTCAAAACAGTTCTTCTTTCACACACTTCACCAGAATTCTGTTCACCGCTAACTACGTTAAATTCTTAAGTCTGTATAGTTGGTGGCTTTAGCGCTATCAAAGAGCCTGAACATATATAAGCTTTACATATGCAGCTTACTGAGTTACCTTTCAAGTGACGAATTTCAAGCAACAAGCTGAAAGAAACCAACTCCCTAAACACATTGATACGATCACATTGATCTATCAAGGTCAAATTACAACCTAGCAAGAATAGCAGTTCAAAGGGTATAATTGAGCTTCGCGAAGCAAATGTTAATACGGCTTTCAGTTTCAATATGGTTGAACTGGTGTCCATCTGATACTTTCACAAAAGTAGATGATCTCATCACCCAACCACCACCATACGATCCCTTCGGATTGAAGAGAGATATTATTCCAATTTATTATCACCCTTTGCTCTTTCTCAAACAGCACTACTGCATGCTAAGCCCTTCTTTAGTCACTCGGGAGTATATGAGTAGTATCGGACCAATATTTGAACAACGTGACTGTTTTTTTTTATGAAAAGAAAGATTAGTAAGAAGGCTTACGGCACGTACAAAACAGTTCCACTGGGAAATTACCATCAATAACACTATCAATTGCCCGGGCTCTCCTTCCTTCCGTGTTAACAATGATCTGCCGACCGCATCCTTCCCGAATTTTGATGATCTGGCACAGGAATTTGGTCAAACACACACACACACATACATTCCCAACACTTTTCGTGGGTACTTAGCTCGTCAGTGTCGCGTAATACCTTCGATTCATGCGTGTTGGGGTAGCTTTGCTCATTTCTCACCCATTCTGACTTCGCTGCGTAATCCCACTAAGATTACCCCCCGATTCGCGCAACCTCCGCCCATAGTCCTGCGCAGAATCGTGTTTTCACACTGTCGTATGTACCCCTTCCAAACTTGAAGGTCTTAGGTCAACGAGGAACTTTTGCACACGCCCGCCCGTGGGAGTGAGGGCCATCCGTACCACCAACCGTCAGTGTCCCCGTTCTACTGCATAAATCCCTTTCAAGTTTAAATGCTTTAATTCCGAGCTGATAAAATTTTGAGCATCCCCGTCTTCCTTGGTAGAGTGGGCGCATTCATAATAGGTCCACGACCCTAATATGAATACACTCAGTCCACTTCTGCCATATTCCTTATCCTGCCGCCCACATTTCTTTCAAACTGGTTGGCCTTTCGTCCAAGGGTTCGGTTCGTCCATGCCCCGCCTCCGGAGGCAGAGTCCAATCCTGCCACTTTGTGTTGTTGCCCCATCCTGTTGCCTGTAATACTGCCAAACTTGACCGCTCAAGGTTCAAAGGTTCCTGGGAGGGAACAAGAGCTATGAATTCCTGGTAGGACACAAGCTCAAACCGATAAACAAATACTCACTCAGTAGGATAATCACCGTAACATGCAGTAGGATAATTCAAAGGTATTGAAGTTACAAATAAAAAAGCACTGCTAGCGGAGTTCCACTGAACAGGAAAACACGGCACACTTATTACTATTAGCATTTTCATCGAATTTCATATCACTGTATACAGCGTAACCGAAGAATAACAAATACACAATGGTTACTCCTAAAGCTTTTTTTGACTCATAAGATTACATCAAATATATGGTGACAATCTCCCCAGCACAGATCGATAGTGTTTCAATTGGATAAACATTGCTTCAACTAATACACACAAACACACATCTTAATAGCTTTTCTCTACCCATATCGTTATTTCTTTCTTTACAAACCAAAACATGCATTTCTTCCGCGACTATAATATACATGCAACGAGGTTTACATCGATTAGATATGACCGTCTAACGAAACAACAATGACAGCAACATACTAGAATATAGACTATGTATAATACTTCCTCTCACTTATGAATCAAACAATACCGAACAAATAGGCGTTGATAGATAAATTGATCTGACGCAAGGCTATAGAAACCATATCACAACGCCTAGCGTACAAAAACGTGATCATTCATAAAAGATTGTAGTCACGCGCAGCTGACTACAATGATCAACCCATAGTGGATGTCTGAGGCTCGCTACTGCACCATTCTGTACAGTAGCCGTCAGCTGTTCGTACCTAACAACTCACATAAATGATAACATACCGTAACAAGCTCAACACCTGAAATCCTTATGCTTATATACAAGAAAGAGCCATAACAACGGACAGAACCTTGAAAACTGCCGAATGTGACAGTTGACGGGTGCTCCACTTTCCTGTATCTACCGCGCAATAAAAATCAGTAAGATTTGCTCTATTTCTCATTATGATACGATAGGATATTTGCAGAATTCCCGCGCGCAATAGCGTTATATTTCGCTACATTTACGTACTCCTCTCACCGGATCAGAGCGGATGGATATTCAGCGACCTGAAAATGCTCACCTATGCGAACGCAAGAGGGGCATGTTCTTCAAGATCAGGAAAGCCTATCCCACTCCCGCTGACGAAACGGAGAGTGAATCTACTCACTGGACTCCTGTATCGCGAGTAAATAGGCTATTTTAATTGCCGAAACCACCCGGGTGAGGAGAGAAGTACGTTCAAACAGCGATTGCCTGACGAAGTGGCAATACTGTCGCCCCAATGATTCCTTCCAAACTGTTCTTACTTCCTATTGTTTAACACAGCCTCGCTACGTTAAAATAACGGTATCTAGAAACGGTTGGTGTGCAACAATAAATATAGTAAGTTGCAAACTATATGAATATACTTTGCCTATACTCCTAGGCAGAAGGAACGCAAAAGACCCGACGACAAAATTTCAAAGCGCAAACTTGTTTGCTTGATATCCAAGGAGACCGCATAAACCGTAGCACTACAGCCTTGCACGCAATTACACCTCAACTGCGGAACACATTTATAAGAAGTCCGCCGTCCAGCTCTGTCCTCAGACATGACTCTCCTAAGCGAAAAAATCATTCAGAAAAATAATATTTCGAATGTAGAAATCACGTGTCAATCCGGCAACATTAATTGAATTTTAGGAAGAGTCTGAAGTTCCAGCACATATTCAGTTAAACGTGAACCGTCAACTGGGCGTTTAACTAAACGCCAATGAAGACCGAGTTTATGATAGAGACAAACGTTTTCATGATCCAACGTCTTCTCAACGGCCGTCACTGTCTGAAATAGAAATATAACGATTTCTATTGTTAGGGACTTCATTGCATTGTACAATGCATTAGCTTTATAAGCAGAAGTAAGAAGCGATACAAGTCGAAATAACATTTGAAAGATTGAAATAAGAGATCATAGTTTTCTAAGAAAGCAAGAAAAAAAACGTGACGTGATGAATGTGCTCAGTGGCATGATTTCACCAATATGTGAGAAACATGTTCGTTATTCCTCCTTCTATTGAATACTTTTCAAGCTACTTCTCTAGAAGCTACTCATCCAAGAAATTTCAAGTGGCAGCCCTTGAAAAAATCCAATAATGGTTCAAAAACTTTCACAACAATGCAGGCCCTCGTCAAAATTAGAGATACGATACTTCTACTTATCGAACTACCTTTGTAAACCATTACACGCTACCATTGCGGACCCTTCCAAAGAAAAAAATTCCGCTTCATGTCCCTCAGTGATAGAACAAAGCTGTTTTGTGGAAATCACCTTTGCTTGTTGGGTGAACAAACGGATCTGTGACACCTAACTCTTTTCGGAGAGGAAAAACAAAGGGGATGCAGGGAAGGAATTCAGCAAAAAAACTGATGATAACTTCCATGTTCGCCTCTCTTGAAACGTGGGCATCGCTACTGATATTATTCAATGCTTCTGTGCCACACATGTTGTTTAATGGTGGAATTTTCATTCGCCTGACGTTTCAACAAACTCGTCGTTTTCAAAAAGGGACCACTATTCAAAAAGGAAAACCACTCAAATGAATAACTAACCCTCCTATTAAGGCAAACAACAGGGAACAAGGAACATCCAAATGAGCAGCAGCAGAACAGTAAACCGCACAACAACCATCGACTAAAACAAAAAATTAATTCCAACTATGAAGAAAGCGAAGAGTAATGAAATTCTCACCTAGACATTTGCACGTGCCGTTTCAAAACACTATTTATCCGTCCAAGGGTATCGGACAGTTCTTCAGGAGCGACGCGTCCAATAAGTTCACTCGGAAATTCTGTATCAAACCGGGAATTGAGGCCAAACCTAAACAAAACCTGGATGAGAAAAGCGCTGGCGTTATAGTCGTTGATGTAAGCAAGCTCTTCAAATGAGATGCCAAAGAGTTATAGCTAGCATGAGAGAAAGTCACAAACGAGTTCCATTACAATTTTAACTTGGAAAACGTTAATTCTAAAGAACAACTACTCCACTACACTACTCTATATGATTGTCACATGCTTCCTGCACCATATACAACATGTGCTCCTACAACTTTCCCATATAGAATCAGGGAAATTTTCCTGCCTCTTTCTTCTTGTTTCCAAACCATTGCCGAGCATTCCGAATGGCGCTTTCTTTTTCACCAGGATAGTTCCCACTGTTGTTTGATGCTTACCATTCAGAGCTACGCCTTCACATCATTTATCAACTCAAACGAGTTCCATTACAATTTTAATTTGGAAAACGTTAATTCTGAAGAACAACTACTACACTACATATACATTTTGGAATGTGGATCTACTGTCTTCACACCGTAGAAGAAAAAAGATGTTTATGCTTTGGAAGGAGTTCAAAATAGCTTCACTCGTAAACTTATGATGCGAAGTCATCATTTAAGTTATAATGAAATATCTAGCGGAAGTGAGCGTAATAAGATACTCTGTCTAAAGTCTCTTGAATGGAGAAGAAAGAAATTTGATATTCTTATGGCATATAAAAT